ACCTGTAATAACAGCATCAGAGGTCTCCGCCTCAGGTCTCCCAGGGAAAGCATAGTATTGGCCTCCTCGTCCACCTCCATCTTGGGTGGTACCTCTACCCTCAGTCTGTTGAGCTGCAACACCACTACTAGAAACTCTACACCTCTACCTGACAGAACTCTGCCACGACCTCTACCCTGTGGAGCTGGTGGTCTAGTATGGAATGAAGAATTAGGTCGAGGCCCACCACGACTCCTTTGAGAAGTACACTGCCGCATTAGATGATCGGGATCTCCACAAGTAAAACAAAATCTCTGACCTGGGAACTGCTGTGTGGACCCTGAAAACCCACTATAATTGCCTCGCCCTATACGTCGCTGCTGTGAACCGTACGAGCCCTGACCTGGGCCATAAGAACCCCTAGATGTCTGGCCACCCTTAAATGTCGGCATAGATGCATGAATAGGTCCCCGCTGCTGAAAAGAACCACTCACTCTCTGTGATCCCCTACCTCTAGATGAGGCACCCTGAAACTGACCTGATATATACGAGCTCTTTTAGGGTCCCCAAACTTCTCTCTCTCCATCAATTTCGCCTCTTTGGCGACGCTCACAATAGACTGGAAAGAAGTCCCCTCCCTACATGTCCGAAACACAGCTGACCTGATAGAGAAAGTCAATCCCCTCACAAATCTGCGGATCCTCTCTGTCTCATTTGGAATAATGGCCAATGCATGCCTAGACAACTGGCAAAAACGCGCCTCATACTCTGTAACCGAAACCATCCTGTCTCAGACTCTCAAACCTCAAGCGACTCTGCTCTCTCACGCTCCATGGGATAAAACGATCTTGGAATGCGCTAGCAAACTGCTCCCAAGTCACTGGAGGAGATCCAACTGGCAAACATCCCGAATAAGTCCCCCACCAGTCTCTCGCTGGTCCACGAAGCTGGAGTGTAGCATATCGAACCCCATGTGACTCAGCTAATCCAACAACCTCTAGTAACTCTCGGCAGGTAGTTAGAAACTCATGAGCGTCCTCGCTCTTCCTACCCTGAAACTGAGGTGGGTCCATCTTTCGAAATCTCTCATACCTACGCTGCTCATCCTCTGTCAGAACAACCATCGATGCAACTTGACCCCCAACTGCTGGTGCAACATCATTCTAAACCGCGGGATCTACTGGTAGTTTCCCCACCGCATCTTGAACAGCTGGAGCTTGTTGCTGCTCTTAGGTCTGAGCCCCCTCTCTAGTACGGGAGTCATATGGTGTGGTAATTTCACCACCACCCTGAGAAAAGCCCTCTAGCACACTTAACACCCTCAATAGTGTATCCTGAAGCAAAGGTGTGACTATGGGATCTGGAGGAACCTGGTCCTCTCTGTCATCAATCTGAGGTTTGGTAGAGACCTCTCTAGCAAGACCTCTCACTGGTGCTGCTCCACGTCCACGACCTCTGGCTACTGTCGTACTACTAGCACGACCTCTTGCTCGAGATCTACCCCTACCCCTAGTTGGGGCCTCAACAACTGCCTCGGGAAGTGCCTCCCCTCTACCACCAGTAACATTAGTTCTAGTCCTTGTCATCTGTCAAAATAGTATACAACAACTCAGTACTAACGAATGTAACTACGCACGATGTGAAAGAATGAACAAAAGGAAGTTTCCTAGTAATCTTCATAGCCTCTCAAAGATGAGTACAGACGTCTTCGCACTGATCCTTGAGACTCTATATAGACTCGGCTTGTATACACGTGAGACCTATGAACCTGGGGCTCTGATACAATTTTGTCACGACCCAAAAATGGGCGTGATGGCACTCGTCTTATCCCACCAAGACAAGTCAACCTAAAACCCAATATCTAACAAAGTGCAGAAGTAAATGACAATCCAACAACAATTCCTATTATGAAACCAAGTTATATTAATCCAATCCCCAAAATCAGGTTGTCACGTGCACAAACCTCTAATGTGAATATCAGAATTGAAATAAAATACAAGTCTAAAATGAAGTTGTCTTTCAAGTAAAAACAAAGTCATAAACTGGAGTAGGAAAGTTCGCTGAGATGACAAACAGCTACCTCACAATCCTCCACAAGATGCCTCGGAAACGAAGAGAATGGAAGGTATCACAAAAATCCGGGCTGGTAACCTACAAAAAAATTTGTAGAAGCAAGGGGTGAGTACCAAACCCGCGGTACCCAACAAGAAAACCTCTAAACACAAGTTAAGTGAACAAAATACGGGTACTCCTTACACCCTATCTAAACCTCCATGCTACAGCCTAACAGTTTACAGTTTACCAAACACACAACTCAATAACCACACTCTATCAGTTTACACATTCTCGATAACAACTCAATATTCAACAGTCACAAGCTTCACAGAGAAATAGTCACAAGATCAACAAAACACGTATTCAAGTTCATTAATAATAAAATGTGCAATGCCATGAGATGCAATGTCAAGTATAATGATGCATGTCTTTCTTAACAATACACACCCGCTGTCTATCAGTCCGGGACCCATGGGGGACATATCTGTCCATGCATCTGTCGCGGCGCACGACACGACCCTCGATAATAGTAACCATCGCGGCGCGCGATACGTCCCTCGAAATATAATATCCATCGCGGCGCGCGATACGACCCTCGAAATGGTACATCCGCTTACCACAACCATGTCTCAGATACAATGCAAATGACATGCTCAAATGAAAATGAGGAGATAACCATTTTGACACCAAAGCGCAATTTACAAGAAGGAATACAACACCAACAAATAAGTTCTCAACATCACACAAGAAGTTACACGAATTTCATACGCTTAACAAGAGTTTAAAAATCCACTTGCCTTAGCCAATCGAATAATTACTCTTGGACTTGAGCCTTCCCTTTCCGTTGAGCTTCTGAACCAATGGAATCTATCAAGTATATATTCACAATAAGGTTTCAGAACTAACAACACTCGCACTTTTATGTGTTTAATCTTGACCTAAAAATACACCCCAATTTATAATCAAGTTCGTAATTCTTGATGCCAAGTAACATTTTAACTATTATATTTTCCAAGTTTCAAGTCTAGAATTTCATCCCAATTTTCTTTTTCAATATCATAATTTAAACGGTACTCACAAAATATCATTCACCCAATATTTAAATAATATACATACCAATATATCAAAATTTAAACCATAATATAATAACTAAGAATCTAAAAATTACACTCGAAAGAATTCATATTTACGTAGCAGAATTATGATCCAGTGGTATGCTAACTCCCAAAAAAATATAACTTTTCAATGCTTCTGGAGCATACACTATAAACTACTAAATTATTATTCCAAAGAAATCATTGTATTACAATTGACTTCATCGAATCCACTCCAATCTAATACAACAATTATATTATTATAATAATATTTTATATGGGTAATGTTCATAGAAACTTTAATATTTCTTAAAAAAATATTTCCAGGGACCCACGTTAATTACTAATATTTTCCATTCACTTCACTTTAGTTTGATGTTCATCCTACTTATGACAATTATTTTATCTTTTTTTTCCTTCTTTCATGTACCAACAATACACTTTAAATTCAATGAAAGGAAAAAGATTTAATACTTTATCGATTCACTCAAATTTTCCCCAAAGTACATAATGAATAACATATTTCCAACATGAAAAAAATATTTATATTCTAGTAGTACCTCATCTGCCAACCAAATTAATTAAACTAATACACTCAAGTCCATCAATATATGTATAAAATATATGCATCGATCTGTACAGGAATGAAAAATTAGCTTTATATATACATATTTGTTTGCTTACCTAATTGTTTCTGGGTTCCGCCGCACAAGTTTTTCACAATTTGTCTTTCGCTTTCGTCCGCAAAGGTGAGTTTCTTGCCTTCTCTTTTTTTTTAATTATGAATTTCAAACCCTAATAATTTATTTCCCTATATGGTCAAGTTGTATGAAACTAATAATAAACATAACCCATTCAGCATTAATTAAAATTAGTTATTTAATAATTAATTATCAATTGATTCACTCTAATTAAATTAATATTTAAAATTTCAAAAAAAAAAGACTTTTCGGGTCATTACAGCCCCGCCCCATATTAATTTTGAATAAATCCCACTTCAACCCGCCTTGCATCCCACCCGCCCTGCATATCCTTAAACATGTCCCACTCCGGTTAGCCTTAAATCTCCCCCCCACCCCCCACCCCTCCGCCTAGCTCGCCCCATTGCCATTCATATTTTGGGGTAATTTTATTAAAAGAAAAATCTATATACCTAGGCAAACATAAATCTTATATTAACTTTTGTAATTTTCTTTTTAAATATAATTATTTTATGAAGCTATAATATTTTATCAATAGAAAGTTATATGATCATACTCAATTCCCTGATTCACACATAATTATAAATTGTATGTCACTTTTTTTCCCTCACCTATATTATCGAATTTCTTTTACATGTTGTGACTCCATTGATTTAGCATAATTCACCTTTTAATTTCTTAGAGTTAAAATAAGAGATTCTTCTAAATTCACTCTTTTGTAGTTTTTCAAGATTTCTAGAACAAAAAATAAGGAAAGAAGTTCAAAATTCTATGAAAAGATAAATAGTGGTACTTGTCATGGAAGCATGCCACTTCAACGCGTACATGTTCAACTTTAATATATATATATATATATATATATATATACCCCCTCATACTATGCCCGAAATACCAAAGACACACTGTCACATTCGAGTTTAACCCCTAGACGTGACCGACGTCGCCGTCCTTTTCAAGGACTAAGAATAGCCTCTTAGTTTCATGTCATTACATTCATTGGTTGAAAAATGCAGAAAAATAAAAAAAACTTTCATTATCACTACTTGGAGGCTTACATAGACCTCTACATACACATAATATATATTCATATCGAGTATACATAGACCCTTCATATAGGAAGGTTACACAGCCTTCTAATTTTATTGCACATACATATATAAAAATATAGAAATAATCTCAACGATTGTCACATCTCATACCATCTAAACGAATATCACAATATGGGCATAGCCCTTACATCATTTCAATAAGACCATGTAAAGGTCATACGGACAATATTGAATTAAAAAGGAAAGGAATGATAGAGTCAATACGCTCATAACAAAATCCAAAGCTAGAGGATGACATTCCCTCGAAAGTTGAGGACCTACCCTACTTAGATGAAAGGAAGATCCGAGTATTCAACAATGTCGCCTTCCAAACTCTTCAACGACCAGAACCTAAAATGTTTGAAAAAAGGTAAGAAAATAGGATTAGTACTCCACATGTACTAAATATGAGATCTTATGCACATACACAAACAAAATATGCTAAAAGAGACTTTTTATCAAAACATGTCATTTTACCCCTTTAGGGACTTAATGAAAAGTCAATTAAGTCATATTAATCAACCAAATATGCTTACTATCTCAACAAGTAATACTTATCCCAACATACTTGAAACCATGATTTACTACAACTCTAACATCAAGGAATAATATCACAAGAATGAATAAGAGTTAAACATATCATAATAAGCAAGACCACTACTCACAAGTCCTTACCAAGTCAACAAGTGCAATGACCAAGCAAAGTCCCATAACCTTACTCAATCAAGTATCCTCAACAAGAAAACATGATCAATGTCCAAATTTACATATCATAACATTTAGGCTTGCATGTCATCATGTATTATCATTATAACCCAAGGCATATTCATAAATGAACAAATCAACATATGTTATCAACAATGTGACATGGTCATCATATATACAACATATATTGTCATAACATAAACATATATAAGAACCTCCTCCTAAGATTCCCCTTAAGGTTAACTAGTGCAATGTCTAGGTAGAGTCCCATACCCCTACCTAGACTAAGATAGACCCCTTAGGTTATCCAAGTTAGAGTACAAGTTCTTTAATTCGTTTCATCATTTTCGGAATATCTTTCCCTAACCAACATAGACCACATGAGCTAGTATGGAATCCCGTGTCATAAGACCCTACACCAAAGAAGACGAACTACTTGCCAAGGTAGTACCAAAACATGAAACATAGCAACTACGTGGATCCACTAGCTAGTATTCCTAAAGAGGCACCATAGTTCAAGAACTAGAAGATTTAATTGGGACCCTCTTTATGTGCCATGCATTATAGTCTCCAATCTCGAGAGTAATGTAGTGTTCCTACCTTCCCTATGTGGGAAGGGACACTCCTCTATCTAGTTCACTCAGTGTTAAGCTAGAGTCTCTTTTTGAAATATCTTTAAGCCTTCAATTACCAATCATAGCTTAATTTAGGCCATAGGGTCTACCCCTTGTATAATCATCATCATCAATAACTCAATAAGAATTGTATCAGTATAATTCCTTTCATCACAATTCATATAAGTGAGGTTAACAGATTAATATTTCATAACATATTAAGGCACATTGATAGTTTTCACCATCCTTATAGCACATACACCTTAATTAACCTCACAAAATAGTCAAGACATTTCAATTCAACATCGTACCACCCTATAATCCTAGTGTAATGCATACTCCACTGTAATATCATAACTTAACAACAATTAATCGCAATTGGAAGAAAAGATAGAGATTCTAAGACTTACCAAGTCTTCCTCATAGTCTATCATCAAGGTCTTACAATCAACCCATAGCTCAACCCAACTTGGGGAGTAATAGTATCACACAATGATAACAAATAGAATAACAAGGCCAATTACATCTCTATAAAAACAATTCATCTTTAGATCACAACTTGAGATAAGGTATATAGGCTAATTTCACATTATAATTCATAACCTAAATCACATCTTAAGAACTAGCATGATAGGCCTGTAATTCATTTTAATTTGATCATAATAACACCATAGGATAGTAATCAAATCAACAACAAACTCAACTGAATGATCACAATACAATATAGGTCAAGATCACTGCCTAGGGTTAGGGATAGAGGATCATATTCTTCAATTTAGACAAAACCATAAACAATACCATAAACAAGTTCAATTACATGCTAATAAAATAAATATAACCCTAATAATCCATTAACAACTCAATCCATAACTTCAATTTTTTCGTACTTGAATAAAACCTATAATATAACTCAACTTTTTGAAATCTATTTTGAAGGAACCCTTTGAGGAAAGAACCTCAAAGGTAAATAGAACCCATACCTTAATGTTTTGTTGAAAACTGAAAATGAATCCACCCTTTTTCATACCCCAATTCACCTCCCAAGGTAAGCTTCTATGGAGTCTTTCAATTAGAGAGAGAAAGAAGAGAGAAGGAAGAGTATTTATTTTGAGAGTTGTTTTTAGGTTAATGAGGTTTGAGGGTATTTATAGTGACACTTAACCAACTTAATTAGTCTCCCTTTAATATCCAACTAACCCCTAAACCACATAATTAAATTAAATGAAATTATTAAAATTAAACAGTGAAACTCGACCCTCACGGATGAGACCCCGATCGACGGTCCATCTGTGAGTCGACGGACAACCCCCCCCCCTCTTCGTCCTGCACTCCGTCGTCTCGGTCAAAGACTTTGCAGGCGAGGGCTTACTCCAATTTGTTTAAGTGTGGGACGACAGTGGCATCGTCGATCCACACACGGACCATAGCCTGCACCTCTACACTCAGTCGATGAGTTCAGAGACTGTGCAGGTAAAAGGACCTTCTCAATTATGACATTTTGAAAAAAAGAAGATCCTCTTCTTAAAATAAAAATTAATATGAGTGAAAATCAGAAGTGAAGAAAAAATTGGTGGGGTTCAATGATGAAGAATAAAAAGAAGAGGAAGATGAAAGTTGAAAAAGGGGAGGTTTTTTGGAGTAGGAGAAAAAGTATAGGGGTGGGGTTCGAAGTAGGAGAAATGGGGTGGGGAGTTTTAAAGAAGGACAAAGAGAGGGGGAGGGGGTGTTTTGGTTAAGAAGAATGGGGTGGTGCATGGGTGGTTGAAGGCGACAGTGGGTAGTGAGCTGTGGGGAAGAAAAATGTGTGTTGCTGGTAGCAAAGGATGGGGTGGTGGGGGTGTAAGGAAGATGAAGAATGAAAAATGATGGCTGAGAAGAAAATAAAAGGGACCCACTTATCTTTTCCTTTTAAACTTTTTGTCAAACGCAGTAGCATTTGTTCCACTTGCCATATCAGCGATTTGGGTGCATTTAAATTCACTTGATCCGAGATTAGGGGGGTCAGGAATTATCCGTAAAGTTAAAGTGTTAAAGTAAATTTTTCCGCCAAGTTTAGAGATTTTTATGTATTTTCATATATATATATATATATATATATATATATATATATATATATATAGAGAGAGAGAGAGAGAGAGAGAGAGAGATAGATAGATAGATAGATAGATAGATAGAGAGAGAGAGAGAGAGAGAGAGAGTAATCTTCCAACAATACTTATTCAATTTGGAAATCAAGAGATAATTACCTTTAAGTGTCTATTACACCCTTGGTATTAAATAGTAGTACTCAATTGGGAAAATGCGTAAGCACCCCTCTAAATTGTGACCAGAATTTCAAATACGCCTGAACTTAACTAGAGTTCTATTACCCACCTAAACTAATTCTAAAAAATGAAATATATACACCAGAAACTTTGACATGTCATAGAAAGTGTACACACTCTCTTGAAGGCAAGTGATTAGAGCACAAATTGGACACATGCCATTTTTTAATTGGTAATTGTATAATATATATATATATATATATATATATATATATATATATATTTGTTTCTTTCTTTGTAAAATATTTATTTTAATTTCTTTTCACTTCAATTTTTTTTCAATTAATTTATTATCTTTTGACTTTTAGTTATTATTTTACAAATCGTATGTATTGAAAAACAATTTAAAGGTGTTCTTTAACTTTAATGTTTTAATATTTTTATGTTTTATTTGATTTTCTTAACTTATTTTGATATATGTTCAAAATTAATTTATTTTAACTACAAGATATTTGGAATCAAATCAAAACAAAAGACAAAGTAAATAAACTCAATAGAGAAATAAAAGAGAGAAAATGAATGTAAGTAAGAAAAATATTCTTTTAAAGAAAATTAAAAAAATTATTTTAAATAAAATTATGAAATATTATTTTAAAAAATTAAGAAACATTTTAATAAAAAATATATTCTTTTCTAATTAAAAAAATTATTTACACACATGGCGGGAGAGTGTGTACAAACACAACCAACTTGGGTGGTTGAAGGTACCACATCAGCAGAAAAGGTGAACAAAAATACGAATAAAACAAGTTCAAAGGGATAATATAATCTTAGTTAAGTTAAAGTGTGTCTCTGAGATTTCGGTCATACGCTATGGGGTTACTTATGCATTATCCCGTATTCAGTATCTAATACATTTCTAAATCATTAAATTTAAGGTGATATGTTCTGGTAGACCATTATACTTGTATGTATTTGTATTGTGAACCCTTCTACTTAATCATTTACCAAGTAAATTCTTAAACTCAATCAAACGAATATTTTGAAACTGCTCTTATCATGTGTGTAGTTTACTCGGCTTGAATAGATGACATTTCAAATCCATGTCACATAAATTAATTACATGTCATAATTATCTTTATTATTTATTTTTAAAAATTATCAAACAAAGTTTTATTAAATAAAATATAAATAATAAATTTAAATTTATTAAATTTTAGGACTCCACACCTCCGCTTCAACAATGTTACATCTAAATCCACCGGCGAAAGCCGTTGCCACCACCGCTCCTCTTGCCAGCATACCTTCACGTCTCCATCTCTATTGCAAATCTAACTATTTTTCTTTTCTCTTTCTCCAATCTCCACAAAATTAGTAACTCTAAGTCGAAACACCACTAGCGACACCTGCGAGCCACCAGGGACCACCTCTTTTCTCCATCCTCTCCATTGTACCAATAAACCCTATCGCCGCCTCCCGTTCTGGTGAAAAAGGATTAGTGTCATCTCTCTCTTACTCCACTTTGAATCATTAGATTCCGATGAGCACCACCATAAAATCAATGTCGCTTTCTCCCTTCGATAATAATAACTTGAAATGTGACGATAAAGAGGTGTTAATATCCTGCTAAAGGTGATAATAAGTGTATAGAAGAAGGAAAAAGGGGTTGGGCAGGAATGAGGATGGTTGCTGGAGTTGAAGGAAGAAGAAGACCTTTTTATAAAAAAAAAACTTTTTTTTTGAATTTACTATCTTTGTTATAAAGTATTTGTATTATAGTGAATGTCTATCATGTGGAGTCCTTTTTCGGATATGGTTAAAGAGTCCTCCTACTTGGGGACCAAGTTAGATTTCTCCTATAAATAGAGTGTTCCTCTTCATTGTAAATGAATTCATCAAGAGAAATAACAAGTTTTCTCTTCTTTTCTCTCTAGTTTCTTCTTCTTATTCAATAATTTTATAACAGTTAGATGTTATCATAATGAATCTGTTATAACGAGATTTGATTGTGTATAATATAGTATGTAATATGTATTAGTAAAGCCCCTTAATTTGGAGGTTAGGAAATTTAGAATTATTAACAAATCTTGTCATATTAGCTGGAAAAATAATGTGGCCCAATAATATAGTGTCACGTATTAAAAAGCCTTTTAAAAATTCAGAATTATTTGTTTATGGGGCCATAAAATTGTTGCTTTTGGGGGTCAACATTTTGTAGTATTATTATGAAATAGGACCACACTATTATATACTATTAAGAACACAAATTGGCTGACCAAGAATCTTGAATTTGCGATTTATATAAGCTAGGGATTTGATTTTCCTAATTACATCTTCTTGTTTTTGCCTATTCTGCATTAATTTTAAAAAATTTCAAAATAATTTATTTCTTCGATTAATTTAAATCGTTAAAGTAATTCAATAATATCTAATCTTTGTTTGTCTTAGTTGTAAATTTGTTTGTCATTTTGTCTAATGGAGCCTAACCATAATCAACAACCTTCTAATGCACTTTGCTTTTTAGTTTTGATTTTAAAAAAAGTTCATTAAATTGGGGACTACTCATAAGTACAAAATTAATTAATGATGATCTCTAAATACTATCCAAAGTAGTTCAAATCCCTTGTTGGAAATACTTAGGATGGTGAATTGTTAAGGGCCATATTTAGGTATTTGGCTATTTAATTTGTTTTTTCTCAAACTGTCAAATTAAAATGACCTATAATTTTTTTAAATAAAATCAAGCTACTTTGAACTAATATTGTTACCTTATCACTTCATGTGTACATACTTACTATAACACTCAAATCGAGCTTATCTATCTTTCAGAGCACAAGAATACAAGAATCGATCCAAATAACAAAAAATATGTTGTTGTTTTTAAAAAAAAAAATTGTCTCGAGTAAGCAATGCAATCCTATCGCCAAAAAGTCGTTGGTATAGTGCCATAATAATGCTTACATTCCTTTTTTTTACTCTTTCACTTTTTTATCCGATTTACTCCCGACTTTATAAAATAATATTTTATCAAACTTAAAACTTTGAAACAATTATTGTACAGGAGTCGATAGCCAAAGGTTCACTAAATTCGTCTTGTTTGTACTATCTTTATATAAAAATATTGGTTCTATTTTATTTAGTCATAACAGCTATACCATATAGACTGTTGTTGTATATAGTACAAATTATGAATCTATATAGAGTGACAAATTAGACATTCATGTGGTATTTTAATACACACATGAATGCCACATACTCTCCTGTTAAACAGAAAGGTAACTACGATTCAATATTTAGACGAGAAGAGCATTTTTTTAACTGAAAAATAGTTTAAGAATATACTTAATCTATTTCAAATAGTTTAAGAGTAGTTTTGATCTTAATCATATAAATTAAAAAAGTTACTTTATTTTTTATTGTTAAAATCAAAATCACACCCTACCACATAAAAGTGTCACGTCAACACTTTTATATAATTTCGGGGAGAGACCAATAAGTTTTATAAAAAACAATACCGTTGGCTTTTTATTATTCGTTGGTTACATTCATAGTATACTGTATAAAATTGTTATTCCCATTTTTTTCTACACATCAAAATTAATTGATGTTGATAAGATTTTAGCATTTTTTTAAAAATGTATATATATTTATTTCGATCAGAAGATGTATATATTGTAGTGAATTAAGTGGAGGATATTATGTTGAATTGATATTGTTTACCTTATGAACTCATTGTTATACATTTGATGTGAAACTCTTCATTTGCTTTTTGAAATATGTCTGACGTGAAGTATGTGAGTGGAGAGGGGCATATTAGTTATTATAAGGATATTTTGTGCCAAAAAGTAAATGAAATGTATAATTAGTTTATTTCAATAGTTTAAGGCATATATATTTGTTTCATTTGGCTAACGATAGAGGCATTTTTGTGCCAAAATGCAAACAAGGGGGTGTATATTCTAATTCAATAGTGTAGGGGCATTTGACCCTTTCTTTTTTTTGAAATTTTGTCATTATTCTTTGAATGAACACTAGATAATAAATTATTTTTTGTGCATGTATAAGTCATAAGTTAAATCATATATGAAACATGTTTAGTGCGATCGACTCCATTAGCGTTGACAGAGAGAATCAAATCTCTAGCTTCCTTTATGAATACCATTTATTGTATCAATTCAGTCACCCGTAGATCTTCTTCTCTTTTTTTCTCATTATGGTAGAACAGATTTTGGTCACATTTGGGACTCATAATTTTGGTTTGGCTTAGGTGCCTTTCATTGTTCCCTTATTTGGGGGATGTATGCTCCATTTTTAGGTCTTCTAGTGTCGAATGACTTCAAGAAGTAACAATTATTACTTTCTCAAACCTAATAAAATATAAACATTTAAGTGTAAAGACATTCAAAATAATGATATATCAACATAATTATGATTTAGATATACGCTATGATAATGTGCTATAAGTATATACTTTTAGCCAATTTCAAATATATGTCACGACTAATCTTGCATACACGTAACTTTTTTTTTTGAGGGCTTTTAATATGAAAAGTTTATTCACACACCTATAACAATATTTTGTATTGAGTCCAAGGCAAGTTATAAGAATTAATGACTTGTAAAACTGTTGTTACATGTCAGAAATCAAGATTATTGACATATGTGAAACCAGGAATAATTCTTAGTTAGTTAATTAAATGTGATGTTTTGTTATATAAATATGTGATTAAATAATATGTAAAAAGGACGTGTAA